ACAAATGTCCAGCTTAAAAAAAAAAGTAATCTGAAACTGATGGAAATACCTTACTTCAACTGGATGACTTAGAAGTTAAAAGTTCGGAGTTTCAGTTTGATCAACATTATACTTCAAAATACGAATGACAATGTACTCGTAAGGATAATTACAAATAAACTAGAAATAAAATATTCTGAAATCACTGAAATCAAAGGGTTTAGTCTGAAAAATATTTTCCAAAAGTAATATGACATTTTAACTTTTCATTGCTATTCATGGTCAATATTTTCAAAATCTCAGCAACGCTGATGGGACAAAATCCTCAATTTTCTACCCAAACTTAATACAAATTCATTTACCAACAAACATCACACGCACGCAAGAAGTGAAGATGAAGGACACCACCCATCCAATGAGAAGAGATCTCCAGACGCTTTGCTAGACAGATTTTCCCATCAGTACGTGACACCTCCTGTCACAGCCCTTATGAACTGCCTAACAGAGGAGATGATTAACTGGAGCTGCCTGGTCTCCCCAGCATCCTCCCAGGTCCTGGGCAGGGCTGTTTACCTTATTTTACACTAGCTAGGATGCACATATGGCAGCTGGCATTTTTGCAATGCTTTTCATTCAATCTGTATTGTCTCTGACATGATTCATGCACTAGGGCTACAGGGAAAAGAAATACAGAAATTATCTGGGGACTGTACCAGCTTGGAGAGTTACAAAACCCATCAGCTCCTTCTACAGTTGGAGAGCAGAGGAAGGAGAGCAGAAAAAGTGTGACTAACTGTTCCAAACATACAGGAGACATGAACCAGAAAAGGAGCTGTCTTACTGTGGCTGGGGAGTTCATAGATCTGTGATTCACAGCATTACAGGGCCCATTTGGCATGCAAAAAGAGAGGATGATGAAAGGAATAGTTAGTCATGGAGAAAAAGCTAGACAGAACACACAAAGATGCTAACCCCTGGGAAAGGGAGCATATTCAGGTGACCCACAGCCTGGGAAAGGGAATAAGGTCTTTTCTTCTTTATTTTCCTAAAATTCCTTCTTACTTCAGTAGGTAAGGAGTTGAAGGAGTGCCCTCCATCCCAGCCTTGTAAGACCACCACAAAATCCAGTGCACTGCTCAAGCCTATCTCAACCCAAGAGGACGGCACAACATTCTTCACACTTTTGCTAAATCCAGACAGCCATATTCTCTCATGACCATATTTTTTTTCAGTGCACAGTGTACTACCCTCAGCATGCAATTGCTGAAATCACGCTTGCAGATAGATAGCGTTTCTGGTAAACTTTCACCTCCTTGAAAACAGTCGTATTCAAAGTAGGGATGAAGGAGAATGATTTGCCTTAGGGATCCCCTTGTCGACTCATGTGATTGCTGTTGAAAATGGTCTGGATCTAAAAGACCACAAAGGTGTTTGATGTTCTTCATATATCCTTCAGCAAAAGAACTGGGAGAACAGTCATTGCTCTTGTGCGTTTGCATTTTCAATAACACACATGAAACAAGCTATGCCCTGCCAGTTTGGAACAAGCTCTGTCCTGCCTTGATGTACCCATGCTGTGTCTCTTTTACTGGTGTGTGTGAAAAGGATGGGCAGGAAGGTGGAGAAATGACATTTGTAGGCGAGAAATAGGACTGGGGCTAGGGGAGAAGATAAGAGGAAGATAAATGGAGAGGAGGAAATGAACTGGTGGGAAAAAATAAGACACACACACACACACACCCCCAAAAAAGAGGAAAAAATTATGAGATAGGGAGGGAAAAGGCAATGGAGACAAAAAAGCTCAAAAGACACAGATGAAGATGAAACTATGATCACAGAAATCAAATAGGCAGGCATGAAGAGAGAGATAACAAAGGAAGAAAAATAATGTAAAATGCAAGGAAAATCAAGAAAAAATTAAATTAACACTTCCACCAAAAAGGAGCTGAAAAGAGAAACATGGGATAAATCAGATTGGTAAGATGGCAGAAAACAAACCAAAGAGGAAATGTGGAAGACAGTAACACAAGCTGCATTTAATACTGTTCATGGGACAGACCTTCCAACAATTATTTGTTACGCTGCTGCCCTGTGGTCACTGTGATATGGATGACGTCTGCCTTCAGAGCAGGTCTCTGAGCAGCAAGCACAAGCCATGGGGAGCAATGGCCAGACCTGTGACTGCCAACCCAGAGACTCCTGAGTGGGAGAATGATCCCATAGAAAAATCTGTGGTAAAGCAGAGAACTGAACCGCTGTTTACTGTCTCCTTTATGTCAAGACAGTCTTCTGCGTTCCCTTGTCTGCCATGTTTGATGGATGAATCCCTTCTCCACCACTATAACTCACCTCCAGTTTGGACACTAGCCCAATCAAAATCTAGGAATAATGGGACAAGAGCACAGTAAACAATTCAGTCTGCTGCTGCTGGTAATTTTTCCAGTAGAGAGTAGGGTCCCCTTTCTCCACTGTGAATAAATTATTCCAAACTGTTTTCTGCCTTCCTGCCAGGTTAGGACTACCAGCCAATCCGGGAACATACACCCAAGTCGTGAAATGAATTATGGCCAATTAGTGCAACTCAAAATAAGGAAGAAGCCAGTATAAAATTTTTAGAAAGACTTCCCATTCACACAAGCAGCAAAAATGAGGGATGGCATCACTGGGAAACTGTGGCAATTCGTGGAACACTATCATATCACAGTGCTTACCACAGGTGTCTTTACCGCATCCATTAAAGCTCTTAAACGCTGCTCTGAATCACATGGCATCTCCGAGGCCCCATGGTGCAGGCAATGCCTGTGTACCCTGCAACAGTCTTCCAGGGTCGCTAAACCACCCGCTCTCGCTGTAGGCACACGCTCAGACACACAAGTGATCTCACTGGTTTTAGCAGCACCATTTATGCGACGACTAATTATTCACCTGAGTGGGGGCTCATCGGTAGTTAGGCTAAAAAAAAAAACCCAGGAGTATCTTCTTCTGCCTGAAGCACGAAAAGGTTTGGAGCTGAATCCACAGCCCCTCTGGGTCCCACCGGTGTGCCTGTGTGCTCGGAAAGCAGGCACCACTGCTGCCCCCGAGCCATTCAAAGCATCCATGTGGGAAAGAGCAGGCAAAATCAGTGAGAGTCTGTCATCCTTTATGGCTCTTCTTACACTAATAAAGTTGAAACGTAAGGGGCAGGGTTTGGCGCAAAAGCTGCAGGTAAATCTCACTAGTATATTATCATTTTTTACATCAGATTGGTCATGTTCATGCTCAACCATAACTTTCCTAACTGAAACATTTCAGGTTCTTTTTAAATATGAGTTAATAATGATGAATCACAGGTAAGGATGACCCTAAATTAGAGGCACAGTACAAAGCCTTGCTATAATCAAGGGAACTACTGTTATCTACAGACACAGAACAGCCATATTTAATTTTGCATTCTGTACTTTAGCCCAAAGAAATAGTAATTACACACCCCTCAGCCCCTTTGCATGGTGCCATCCAGCACATGCCCATCAGAAACAATGAATACATACATCAACTGAAGAGTAAGGGTAATTTCCTGTGGTTGTTTTACAAGCAAGAGATTAAACTGCGACTACCCTGCAGAGTTTAAACAATGTGCTTGTAATAGAACTGATGCTGTAGCATGTAATCAGAAGTCGAACAGAAAGTTTGACGTGCTTAATGCAGCATTCATATGTAAAGTGTCTGCAGTGGCAACAGCCCAGCCCTCTAATTTCAGTCTTTGTTCCAAACGAAACCTTGGGCCAGGTGCCTCTGAACATGTGCTGAAGTCCCTGTCAAAGGACCGAGACAGAATTTCTCCATGGAAATGATGCAAAACTCAGACTGGCTCCATGCAGGCAGAAACACTCTGGAGCCCATCAGAAGACGGGCTCTGTTGGAGCCTGTTAGTAAGCGCGTAATTGCCACAGGTGACGGCATGGGGAAATTTTGAAATGTATCATCTCAGTTATCCTGCCCGTTCCTCAATTAACTAAACAACTCTACACGGTTCCTGTGTGACACCAGAGACATCTACCGTGTCATTTGGTGTCTTCCTAATGTTAGAAATATCCCATAGACATTCACCCCCAGTTTTCCTAAATGAAAGCAGTGGGACAGAATAAGGCCACGCATTTTAACCCATCTGACTGGGTTAAAAACCCAGGACGGCCACGCGGTTGGATCTCAGTAAGCTCTCGGGGAAGCGCAGGAGGTGACACAGAGAAGAGCCAGGGCTCCAGCGCTTGCACTGAATCACCGGGCTGACCTGCGAGAGGGCAAGGACCACGGGACAGACGGGAGGGATGACAGCCGGGGGCCGGGAGGCAGGTGGGGGCAGCCGGAGAAGGGCTGTGAGGGAGGCAGCGGCGCGGGACCGGGACGTAAGGAGGGCTGCAGCACCAGGCGGAGGCCGGAGGCGGAGGGAAGGGAGGACAACGTGCCAGGAGCTGCAGGCCAGCGGGCAGAGCTGCCAGCGAGGAAGGAGCAGCAGGCAGCGTGTGGGCCGGTGGGGGTAGCTGCCCCCCTGGCCACGTCAGCATCCCCAGTCAGCTCAGCGGGCAGGGAGCTAGCAGCCACAGGCATCTGTCTGTGCCCATCTGAGGGCAGGATCGGGGCCTCTGCATATGCATTCACTTGAGGACAAAGCCTATTAGCATTCGCCCGAGCCATTTTAAAACACCGCGGTTATGGAGAGTCTCCCTGATTAGGCAGTGAGGAGTCCGGGCTCTGCACCGCAGCCGTCACCACAGTGTAAGCATCAGAAAGGAAGCAAGGCTTTCAAGGTTCAGAATAAAAGACTCAGTTTACAAGCTTATAAATTATTTGTATCTTTGACTGAAGGCTGCAAGCTTTGTTCAAGTCTGAAAGATACTAAGCAACTGCTTGACAATCACCATTAATTAAAAAAAAAAGGCAACGCCCCCCCCCCCCATGTTCATCATTCAGTAACAATTCTCTTGGAGTTTACTCTGCACACCCTTACTACAGATCAGTGAATACCAAAAATGGATCGGTACCTGCTTTGTAAGTCGTTCAGGTGCAATTTGCCTACATAATGGGTGGCTGATGAGACAGTGATGATCCTAGCGTTGTGACTGTGCGTTCCTGATTGCTTCAGCATATCCAAGAGGAGGTTAGTCAACAGGAAGTGTCCCAAGTAGTTCAAGCCGAAGTGCTCCTCAAACCCATCCTCCGTATTCCTTTCAGGGACCAGCATCACCCCAGCTGGAGGAAAAAGGAGATGTAAAACCTGTTGATTTATTTCAGAGAAGCAGCAAGCTAGAAGGAGCACGGATCTCCTGCTGCAGAGTGTAAACACAGCATTTAGAGCAATGAGTGATTGGTGATGGCATGTGAAGTGTAAAGCTGACACTGATTGATTCCTGTTGAGAAAAATGTCAAAACCCCCACTTAGGTTCCTTTATCCAGAAAACAGGTAGACGGACGCTCTCCCTCCCTGCAGAATTGTGAGGATAAATGAGTTCATTTGTGAAAAGTGTTTTGGAGACATTAAAAGTTTAGTTAACCCATTGCTGGCGTGCCAGAATGCAATGCTGCAGGTCCACAACAATAATTAATCCATCTACAATAGGTGGGAGCTGGGTGATCCCAACAACATTCCCTCCATCAAAGGGCTCAGAGCAGTGGAGACAAGACCAGGCTAAGCAGTAGACCTGCTCTCCCAGGCGGCTTTCTGCTGAGTCCTGGCTGGAGTTTAAAGATCTGTTGAGTCTTCTTCTGAAATCTGCAACTTCTATCTCACTGGTGTGGGTGAGAAAAGATGTAGTAAATTTACCCAATATATCTTAATTACTGTGCTTACAAGCAGCTGCATATTGAAATGAGTTTTTGAATGCTTATTTTGGCAATATTTTTGCATATATTTCTACAAACCACAATTTTCAAACTCAGTGCCTAAAATAAGTATCCACATCCCCAACATGCAATGTTGATTTCAGCATCTTGCAGAGAATCCTGAGCTCATGCATAAATTATATCGTGTACTGAGGCTGTGTGGGGGATAGCTATCCCACTCCATTATAATGTGGACTTGAATGTTATAAATTATTCTTATTTTATTAAAATTTAATTATCGTACAAGTGGATCTGACCTTTGTAATTTAAATGTAGATGGACGTGGCTCGGGGAGAATAATGTTGTAGGCCGTTTGTCTTCTCTCTAAAACACATGAGTATGATACAGCAGAAAGGCCACCTCTGCTCACAGACGTGACAGAGTGTCAGCTTAATCCTCATGCTACTTCATATGTCCATTAAAAAGCCTTTAACATCCCATTTCTTGATGTCAGCCCAATAATGGCATATTAAATGACCATTTTAAATTGTCATTTAGATGCTGTGCATCTACACCACTCCTTCTTTGGGGGGGTCCCGCCACCTGACAGTCCTGCTTCCTTACTGCTGCTTGGGCTAAAGAGGAGATACTTTCAGGATCTTTTTAGCATGGCCAACACCCATAGTGATTCACCTATGGCTGCCTACTGCTTAATCGAACAACCGGAGAAGTAGTGTGAGGGGAAGACACAAGAGAAAATGAGAGAGCAAACAAAAGGTTTGGGTGTAACACAGTATACCTGCATACAGAGAATTTAAGACTGAATATGAGCAATGCTGGCTGATGGTATGATGAAAGAAACACAACACAAATTACCTGATGGGGCTCTACAAAAGCTCTGATTGGCATCTCTCTCTGTCTTTACAGCCGCTTTCCAGATCCCTCAGAAAGACAGGAAAACCCAGCTGCCGGGTGTGGTTTCTCTGCCTGTCAAATCTCAACTTTAACAACGGGAAGACACAAATCAGAGGATGTCTGGTCGGGTGGCCCGTTGCATTCTCCTTCCTCAGCAGTACTTAACTCTGATGCATGGTGCAACTGCTCACAGAGTTGGAAACAGACTTCCATTTCCTCCGTAATCTGCATATGCAGCATATAATGACATCCAGAACAGTGGCTGGGACTGAGCACTGCCATGAAGGTTATGGACAGGCATAAACGTGGCACAAGCCCTGCTGCGACTTTTTCCTGTTTTCTGGGAAGAAGGAAAGGGTGGGAAGGGCAACAAACCCCAATCTCCCAGACCAAGTCTCAGCCTGCTACGGTGCAAGTTTTAGCAGAGACAGAGCTTAGCACAAGCTGTTGGAGGGCAGATGGGAACATTGCTGCATCTCTGAGCGCTGGGGCTGGTACAAGGAAATGATTTGCAACTCTCTGAGGCCCATCGTGCCCTGCAAAAGCTGTGACACTTGGAAAAGGCAGGAGGAAGAAGTTTGCCAGAGGTCTATTTGCAGCGACACTGGTAAAATGCAAGCCCACGAAAAGGCAGCCAACACAAAACAGGCCTGGCACAGCAAAGCTGATGTGAACACCAAATGCTGCTTCTGCATCTGCCAGGGCTGCTACAGGGCTCACTATAGGACCCCTCCATGCACACACACACGGTTCTGTTGGCTGAGTCAGACGGAGGGATGGAGGAATTTGTCCAGAGACAAGCGCGGTAGATGGCTGCTACAGGCATTCAGCTTTGCATCACGATGAGCAGGCAAACTCAGGGAAGGCTGTCACCGCTCCCATCAGCCTGAGGATGCCTGGGCTACAGCAATCACCCCCTCGACCTCCGGAGAGGCACGGGATTTCAAGAGCACATAGAGGCTTTGCCCTTCACCCCAATTAGTTCCCACCATCTGTGCTTCTTGTCCTGGAAGCAAAAATCAGATCTGAGCTCAGGTCGGGAGGCGGAAAAAAGTTTTACTCATGCAATGCACAACCGTTAAGATACACGTTTCCGAAAATTATTTTGCTCATTCTTCAGGAGCTTCCTCTGAGTAGAAATTGTGGTCAAGTCCTTGAGCAGGCACAATCACCTCGGCTTGCATTTGCTGCTACTACAATTCCCTTTTTGTCTTCAAGAGCTGGTCAAATAATATTAATCCAAAAAACCCTTGAAAGACTTTTTTTTTTAAAAGGTCCTCATCTTTGAGGTGGTTCCTATCAAGGCTATCGAAAAATCTTGCCCTGCAATTTGAGGGCAGTTTCTCTTATTTGAGAAGAAGACATTTTAATTCACAGAGAGCGAGCATACAAAGGAATACCCAACAGGCAACTGAACCTGGTTGCTTCTCTGACAAAAGGGAAAACCTTGTAAGTGTAGCAGCAAGCTCTCTTTTTTAAATTATTAACTACCTAACGTTCAGTAGATCCTAAAAGTGGCATGCCATTGATTTTCTTTTGTCCAGAAACATCATCAGCTTTACTCAAGGGCCCCAAATGCTAACTCAAAGAATGAAAGCTGCTTCTATTTTTAATTCTTTCAATTAATCCAATACTACTTGAAACATTAAAAAATGCCTTTTTTTTTTTTTTTTTTACTTCCTCATTGAAAAATAAGAATGATTTTGCTTATTCTTCTAGTATGGAATCCATACAACCCAGTATCTTTCTGATTTTAATTGTCAATAGTCAGTCTCCTCAGTTTTTTGGAGTGCATGTCAAATTTGAAGTGGCAGCACACAGACCATTAACGTCAAACACCTCAGTTCTGATATAACTTTCTTATACATTTTTCCCTCTGATTTAGCTGGATTGTTTACAGATTTATTTTTAAAAATGTCACTGATATCAGCATGGCATTAGAAAATGAATTAATAAGGAAGCTGAGCATGAGCTTTTACTTTGTCATTGATTAGCTGTTATTGAAATATTCAGGCAAAAGACTGACAGTATGCATGCAGAAAATTGCCTAGATGACACATCGATGTGTGAGTTTTCAAGAGTAGAAATAAATTAGAATAAGGAAAATATTTTGCTGCATAACCATGCTGAACAACTGCTCTTCTTATAGATATAGTAATACCTTCCAATGTGCTGCAGTTATGCATTTATTGTAACATGTTCAAATTATACACATTTTAATTAGCTATAATGAATAAAAAAATTCCATCCTTTTTTACTTTTATGACTAGGCAATAGTCATATTTTTCTCTCAAAGAATGAACACACCTCAAGAGAACTGTCTTTGTAAACAGTCATTTATGACAATTTTCTATAAAAGTTTCTAATGAAACTCTCAGTTTGGGATCCATCAATGAATTAGTCTTATGTGAATTTAAGAGCATAACGGATCTGATACCGCACACAGTACAACCAAAATGTTTATGACAGTTGTAAATATTACAGTACAGGCATACCATATTTTTTATTGGATTATACAGGAGAATTTGTACCATGCCTGTACTGCAGATGATGGTAAACATTGCTGTAATTCCTGTACCTCCCACAGCAAAGACATCCTTCAGCTCCATTATAAAATATGTTCTAAGAGCTTCAAAAAATACAAGTATTTCGCTCATCTAGATTTATTTACAGAGAGCTACTTGGAGTTTTTTAAAGGCAGTTCTCTCAAACCCACTGCAAAAGAAAGATTTAAAATCTCTTTTTCACATGCAGAACAAAATGTCTTCCTTTTCAGCCAGGCTCTCAGAAGAGGGTTTGGAGGCAGTGCCCCCACATGCAAGTCCTTTCATCCCCAGCAACCCAAAGGTTGGGCAAACAACACAAGAGGTCAGCTGCATACACTTACATGTAACACCTTTACAGCAGGAGGTGAGCCTATATAATCCCATTCACCCAATTCTTTCTATTTACAAGGAAAAGATACATACTGTCCCAAAAAGTTCCCAAGGGTGAAAATTAATAGAGACAGTAACTCTAAGTAAAAGCGCAAAGCCTTTTCTCCACACAGGCTTTGAACTGGTGTAGTTGATTCATTTAGCAGCATTTTCCATCCCATGAATGCAGCCACACAAAGCAACCCACCTCATTTAACAGAGTGTCAAAACCGCTCTGCTCTGCACACCCATACACCAAAAGATCTATGGGTGGATCTATCTATGTACTAAATAGTATAGCCCACTTCTCTCCTGAACAGGAACAGCTATAGTGGAGTGAATATCAAAATAAGCATGGAGCAGCATCCCCTGGCTAGGCTGCCTATACCAGATTGCTTGTTCCACCTCGTTCAGTTGAGCAATGCTGTCCCAGAACATGCCTGTCCTGTGGATCCCTCCTGGCTAGTGAGCAATGAGAAGGTGCAATGCCTTATTAGAAGAAATGCCTTCAGAAGTGCCCACTGGAGACACAAGTGTACCAACATAACTGCTTTTTACAGGTACACCTCACCTGGGCTGCAGAGAGGTGAATTTACAGCC